CAAGGAGCGCCAGCAGACGCTGGGAGAGGCAAGGACATTCTCCCCTAGAGCTTTCAGAGGCAGCGTAGCCCTGCCGACACCTTGATTTTAGACTTCTGCTTCCAGAACTGTGAGAATATATTTCATTTGTTTCAAGTCACCTTATTTGTGATCATTTGTTACAACAACCCTAGGAAACTAAGACAGTGAGGGGGGACATTTGAGTGCAGTATGGACCCTTCAAGTTTAGGACCCTCGTGGGGGATGGCCAGTGGACAGCTGGAAGTGTGAGAAGAGAAGATGGCATTAGAGGAGTGACGTGGGAGGCATCCGCAAAAAATGGTCATGGAAAAGTCAGATGCAGAGGAGACGACCAGGGGGAGGGTGTGGAGCAAGAGGGCAGAACCCGGGGACCCCCAGCATCGCAGGGGCAGAGGAGGGAGGGGAGGCTGGGAGCCCTGCTGCTCAGGACGAGGTGCCCACTCACATCACACAGGGTGGACAAGTCTCCAAGGGGTGCATGGAAGAGGGTTGATGGTTTGGAAATTCTTTGGCAGTCAGTCATCTCCAAACCAAATTGCACTGGTGGAGAAGTGAGAGGTGGAAAAGGTAGAGACAGCAGCATTGACTGCTCTTTTAAAAAGTTTGATTATGAAGACAAAGAGAAATGGGATTAACTATAGATGGAGGAAGAAATAATCAAGGGAACCTTGTGCTTGTTTTTTTAAGAATATGAAATTTTTCATTACATTTTTAGGTATGGGAAGGAGGCAGGGGAGAAAACACAAATAATAGAGCATGGTGCTGATAACACCAAGGTCCAGAGTTTGATCCAGCCACCAAAGAAACAATGCAAATAATCATGAAACAAGGCTTCAGAGAAGAGCCTCACAAATATTTTTTGCTATGTACCTATTACATGCCAGGCACTGTGCTGGGGGTCACCTGTATGATCTCACTAATCCTCTAACCCTCCTACAGAGTAGAGGATTATCCCCATCTATAAAGGGGGAAACTGAGGCTGGGCATGGTAAAATAATTTGCTCAAGTCAATACATCTGGGATTTGAGCCCAAGTCAGCTGACTCCAGTGTCTCAGTTCTTTTTGTTATATTATTTTCCACTGGGAAAAAAAGGTGTATTTGTCTGTTTCTGTTGCTCATAACAAAAATACCTGAAACTGGGTAATTAGTAAAGAAACAATATTTATTGCATTCAGTTTCAGAGGCTGGGAAGTCCAAAGTCCAGGGAACACACCTGGTGAGGGCCTTCTTTGGTGGGGACTTCAGCCATGCAGGATGTCACATCACAAGAAAGGCAGAAGCAAAAGAGAGAGAGAGCATCTCACACACCTTCCTTCTAAAGCCATCAGAACCATGGCCACCATTAAACCATCCATAGATCAATCCACTCACTGGGGCCTGGTCCTCACAATCCAATCACCTCTTCAAGGCCCTACCTTTCAATTACCATAATAGGATTTCCCACCCTCTCAACACTGTCATAGTGGAAGTTAAGTTTCCAATACCTGGACTTTGGGGGACACAGTTTAATCCATAGCAGAAGGCAGTGTCTTTCTCTGATTCACAAAAAAAGAAGCATAAAGAAGTAAGCAGAAGGTTTGCAATGGAGGAAAAGGAAGTTGTGGGGGTTTCTATCACATGGTCTGTGTCTTCATTAAACTGTGAATCAAAGGGATCAGCTGTGTGGGAGAAAGGGTGAAGCCTGGCACTCGGGCTTGAGGGTGAAGGATTTAGGATAAGAACAGTGGGTAAGATATAATAGGGAGCCAACTGGGGAAAAGTAAAAGATCTTGCTTAGCAGTTAAGGCTCCACTAAGATTCATTGGCTAGGTCTTAGAGAAGCTAACCTGCCTGGGGGAGGCAGAAGTTTATCTTCAGTTGGACATCTCACCGGGAAGATTTTTAGTGACGTCTCTGAAAATGCCTGGAGCCACCAATACTTCTTATTTTAACTTGAGACACCCGCACATTCTGGGGCTCTGAGAACTAGCCATCAGATGTCCCAAGGGGATTATCAGTCCCAGACACCTGCTGGGGGAGAAAGTGCTGACCAGCCTAGAGCTGGCCTGTCTGGTCCCGGGTCTCCCACTGCCTTGCTGAAGCCAGGTGCACTCCAGGCCTCGTGGCAGGGTTGCCATTCTGATATGAAAATAACCTAAGTGCTTGACTTAAAAATAACATCTGCTAATTTGTATGGGAGTTTTGCATTTCATATTTGGGCTTAATACCCAAATGCTTTCAGATCCCTGCACCGGCCAGCCACCAAAAAAAGAAAAAAAAAACAAACCCCAAATGCTAAAATTCATTTGTTTGACCTAGTTAAGTCGTTTAGAGGTTGAAAGGATAAAAACTTTTTGCAGTGTTCCACTCTACAGCACCCAGACCCACTCCCACCCTGCATGGCACTGTTCTGTCACCACACATTGGATTGACCCTCAGATGAATTATGAGTTAAAAAGAACAAAATCGATTTACCTAAAGGCTTGTTATTTTTAAGAAGGCCTCTTGGCAAGAGCATCTCCCCACGTTCACGTGTCCATCGAAACTCTGCTGTGAGTTCCACATCCCCCAGAGTCTCCGTTCGAGATGAGCAGCCCCAGGACTGGGTGTGAGTGAGGCAGTTACCGAGCAAGAGGTTTGAGAGGAGACAGTGGAGAAGGTCTTAATGAATAATCATAGGGCCTCATTCTCCTTAAAGGCAATTACTGGGATTGATTGTTTCCATGTTTCCTTAGTCACGGTTCAGATTGCTCGTTTCACTTGGATTAAGACAGATGAACGCTGACTGCGCACAGGCATGCAATGTCAGGACAATTATCGATGGCACGTCCAAGGCCTCTGCCTTCTTGTGCAGATGCTTCCGGGTTGTCATCACCAGGCTGGTTGCGGATGTCAAGGATGCATAGCTGAGGTCGTTGGCCCCCCACTTCCCTGGCTCAGGAGCCCAGGGCACTTCTTGAGGCAGCTGGGTGGTCATTGCTGGGCTGGTTGTGGATGTTGGGGGGGATCTGAGGCCCACAGGCCCCCATGACCCCAGCTCAGGAGCCCCCCAGCCCTACGTTTTATGCACATCATTTTATTTAACCCTCGTAGGGTTAAATTATTACTCAGGTAATAATTATTATTTCTGTTTTAATACTGCTGGGGTTCAGAGAAGTTAAATGACTTACCCAGAATCACATATTAAAAGCCAGGTCTGTCTGATTTCAATAATCTATGATCTTAAAGTTCTACTATTTCACGTCCCTGACTTTACATGGATATTTATGTAAAGATCGAGGCAGGGTCCCAGGTATCCAGCAGTGGTAGGTGCTCCCCAAAGGTAGCTCCCCAGAACTGCAATTGAGCCCTGCTTTGGGGGACCTCCTTTTCTAAAGCCTGTAGCAGCACTCACAGAACATATCCCTTTTGGAAATATTCTCACCGGCGATTTGTCTTCCATTGCTGGCTGTACTCTCTGGCCTGACTTCTGGATGAAATTGTGCTCACATTCCCAAAGGTGGCTTTTCTTGTCTGAATTTGGATATTGACTTAGTATCTTTATGTTTAGGCTCCAGAACAGCGGTCCCCACCAAATGGTCACGGGGGCACCCAGAGGCTGTACTGAACATGTAAATAGAGGAAGAAATGTTATGCTCACGAAATCTTGCTTTTTATCCACAGTGTTCCTTTCTGCCGAAATTCTCCATCCACATAGAAACCAAGTATGAGGACAACAAGGGAAGCAATGACACCGTGAGTAGCGCCCTCATTCCACACCATGCTTGCCTCGTGGGCTCAGAGGGTCGCAGTCCTCACATCCCACGTGGCCAGGGCCAGCAGCGGGGTCTGTGCCTGAGACCTCCGAGACATCCTGGCCTTTGGCTTCTAAGGGTTATTTCCCTGAGGCTTCTCCCTGGAATTATTTTGTTGTCTGGCTTTTCTTTCTTCTCATTTGTATGTACTTTCCCTGGGCCTCTGTGCAGAAATCTCTGTGACCTGGAGTGATCGTCATTGGAGGTGGAGAGAATGATGGGGGACTTGGGACTGCAGAACTTGCCTTTGATCATTGAATTGAGCACACATCTTCTCAATGACTATTGATGTTTACTTAGAAAAAAGAGTACAATCAATTATGTGTGCATACTCTGTATGTATTATCTGGACTGTGCTTATTTATGTTCACATGCACACAAATATCCCACCTGAAAATCAGGGGGTACCCCCCAAAATATTTACTTTAAAAGGCATTCCGGGGCCGGCCTGGTGGCGCACTGGATAGTGCGCCGCTTGGGAAGTGCGGCGGCGCTCCCGCCCGAGGGTTCGGAT